GGAAATGAGTGGCATCTCTGAGACTGCCCATTCAGCAGCTAACGGAACTAACCTCACTCTTGTGGCACAACTTCCAGCAAAACTATAGACACATCTGCAAGGTAAACAGTAACATCACAGAAATTCTTGACATTTAAAGCACACCACACAAAGATCACAAGGACAGCATTTGTTCAAGGATAAAACCCAGAAGGTAGGAAGACAGAGAATGAAGGTGTGGATAGATACAGAAACAGAGAGAGAGAGTGGCAAGAATGATGATACAGTGTATAGACTGCACTGTAAACTTAAGCTTGGGTAACTTGAGGAGGGGAAAAATGGATGGCATAACAAACTCTTAAACTTTAATGCAGAGAAGCTAAAGTGAAGGAAAGAAATTATTAAGAGAGCACAACAGAAGATTTGGAACAGTAGCTATTAAGACATAATAAAATATTGTAATGTAAGACTTGAAGTTGGAAAACCAAAAGGGAAGAACACACTCAGTATTCTCAAGCTGAAAGAACTGAAGAAAAATTCCCATTCAGAGTTCAAAAACTGAAGGAGACCAAGGGGTAAATATTGAATAACACAGGAGGTATCAGAAGAAAATTAAAGGAATGTGAACAGTCACTCTATACCAAAAAGAATTGCCTGGGTTCAGCCATTTACGTTGTAACATGTGGACAGCAACCAATGGTATTTAAGAAGTCCAAGTTGCAATCTTGGAAGCAGGAGTGGCATCCACTTCTGAAATATTGTAGTAGAAGACAGTGGTGAAAAGTAAGGCTTTAGGAATTGAGAGAATACCCAAAAGGTTGTTTTATCAATTAGATGCATTGCTAAACATACTTATCTGTTGCCGCCAAGAAATTTGGAGGACAGCCACCTGCCCAGCGGACAAAAAAGATCCATATTTGTGCCCATCCAGAGCAAGGTGAGTTCTGATGGCCTAGTGGCAAGAAGAAGCACTGCAGTCCTGAAAGCTTGCAGTTTGAATGCACCAGACGCTGTGCTAGAGAAGAATAGACAATCTTCTCCTGTCAGTCGGATCCAACTCAACGGTACATAACAAAAAAACAAACAGATATATAAACCAAAGGAAGGTGATCCAACAGAATGCAGAAATTACTGAACAATATAAGTAATATCATGTTTTTTGTTGTTGTTGTATAGCGCTGAATTGTAACCAACCCATAGCTAATCCTTCAGAAGGTTTTCAGAGACAGTAATATGGAAGGAAATTGTCCATCTTTCTCTCATGGAGCAGCTATTGGTAGATTCAGACTGTACACCTTTGCTTTGGCAGTACACTTCCTTACCACTAAGCCACCGGAACTCCCAATTAGTACTCTACAGAAGTAAAATCTCACTGAGCATCATTTAAAAACAGTCAGAACTAACAAATTTAACATGAATTTAGGAGAATTTATGAGAGATATCAGTATGGAAATAATATTGCTCTTATTTGAAAGCAGAACATGTCACAAAGATATTTACCTGTGTTATATTGAACATGCAAAGACATTTGGCTCTGCATGGATCATAATAAATTATAGATAACAGTTTGAAGAATGGGAATTCTAGAATACTTTAATTATGCTTATGTTGTTGTTATGTGCCATCAAGTCACTTGGGACTCATAACGACCTTTGTGCAAGAGCCCTAACCCCAGCTCAATCCTATGTCAACCTCATTGTCTCCAACACACCTATTCCCATTACCCCAATCACTGAATGGAGCCATCTCGTTGAGGGTCTTCCTCTCTTGCACTGTCCCTCCACCCTCCCAAGCTTCAAACCCCTTGCCTCCAAGGAGCAGCCCGGTTTCACTCTCTCCAGAATGAACCTGTTTGTTCTCCTATGCTTATGCAGAAACTATATATGAATGAACAGAAAACCTTTTTGACCAGAACAAAGGCACGGTGCATGGTTTGAAATCAGGAAAATTGTGTCCTTTCACTTATAATATTCATTCTGTCTGCTAAACAGATAATCAGTGAAGCTAGACTATATGCAGAAGATAGCACAAGGAGCAGAGAAAGATTAACAAACTACAATTCACAGTGATACAGCCTTGCTTGCAGAAAATACATCCTACTGGAAACACTTAATGAAAATTAAGAAATATAGCCTTCAGTATGGTTACACCTCAATATAAATGACAAATAAATCTCCGTAACTAGACCAATAAGCGACACAATGATAAAACCTAGAAAAGAATGAAGTTGTCAAGAGATACCTTTTTACTTAAATCCACAACCAATGCTAATGGAAACAGCAGTCAAGAAATCAAATGATACCTTGCTTTGGGCATATCTATTACAAAAGACCTGCAAGTTAATATTTAGCCAAATCTGCAAAGAGCATCACATGAATTTTTTTTTTCTTCTGTTACTCAACATTACAAATTCTAGTTTCCAAACCTCTCCAAGAGAACTCTGATGGCTTAGTGCTGCCAGTAAAGAAGTTTTCAGTTCCAATCCATGGGAGAAAAAATGAACAGTCTTCTGCTGGGCTCTTTACTGCCTTTGAAAACCTACTTGAGGATCAGCTTTGGGTTGGTTCCAATTTGACAACATACAACAGCAAGCCTGTCCAAAACATAAACTATTATTTTGCCTCATTAACTGCAACCCTCTGTGTCTCCATGTATACTGATCTAGACAGTTCTAGTAGTATGCTGAAATGAAGGTTGAACTTTCTGTTTTATGCTCATGGATAATAGACTCACCCAAAAAGAGGTGGTTGTTTTTTCCCTTAATTTATGGTAAAATATACATGATGAAGATTTACTATTTAACCATGTTAAAGTTTACAATTCAGTGACATTATACAAACATATATAGTTTGTATAATCATCATCACTATCTAGATCCAGAACTTTTTCTCACCTCAAATGGAAACTCCATATCCATTAAGCAGTCTTTTTTTTTTTTTTTTTTTTCATTTTCCTTCCTTCCTTCTGGTCCCTAGAAACTATTGATCTGCTTTCTTTTCTACATATGTCCTTATCATAGGCATTTCTTATAAATGAAATAATACAGAATGTTTTCCTTTGTGTCTAATTTCTTTCATTTAACATAATGGTTCATCATCACCAGTAAGGTTCATCACACATTTTAGCATGTGCCAATACCTCATTTTTTTTTACTTTAATAATATTTTTGGATGATGGTTTTAGTTTCTCTACCTCCTAGATAAATGGCCATTCTAGTGGGTATAATATAGTACTATTGTTTTGTGCCATAGAGTCACTTGCAACTCATAGTAACCCTGTGCACAGTAGCTCTAAGGCCTCCCCAATCCTGAGCCAATCTCACTGTCTCTGACAGACCTAATCCCATTTCTTTAGACACTGAATCAATCCATCTCATCCTGGGTCTTCCTCTCCTGCCTGTCCCTCCACCCTTCCAAGCATCATGTCCTTCTCCAAGGACTGGTCTCTCCTGGCCATGTACCCAAAGTATGTGAGACAGAGCTTCAAAATCCTTGCCTCTAAGGAGCAGCCTGGTTTCACCCTCTCTAGAACAGTTCTCTTGGCAGCCCATGGTATGTTCAATACTCTTCTTCAGCACCACTACTCAAAGGCATCTAATTTTCTTCTGCCATCTTTAGTCATTGTCCAACTCTCTGATGCCTAGCAAATATTTGTAAAGATATCATTGGTTTTGATCTCCTTCCATTTTTTATTTACTCATCTTTTCCAAAAACAACTGTAACCATACATCAGCAGAGAACTATCAAATGTGCAAGCTGGATTTAGAAGAGGCCATGGCATGAGGGACTTCATAGCCAATGTCAGATGGATTTTGGCTGAACGCAGAGAATACCAAAGGAATGTCTGTCATTTTTTCCTTGATTATGCGAAGGCATTTGACTTTGTGGACCACAGCAAATTGTAGTTAACCTTGAGAAGAATGAGAATTCTGGAATACCTAATTGCACTCCTCTGAAACATATACTTGGACCAGGAAGCAGTCATCAGAACAAAGCAAGGAAACACTGAAGCACTGCATGGTTCAAAATCAAGAAAGGAATTCACCCTGTCTCCGTACCTTTTGGATCTACATGTCAGATCTAGGGAGACTAGACTTCAGGAGGAGAAACATGGTATCAGGATTGGAGAAAGGCTCATTAGCAGTCTGTGCTATGCAGATGACACAACCTTGGTTGCCAGAACCAGAGGACCTGAAGCGTTTGCTGCACCGTTAGCACAGGTAGTCAAAAAATCAGAAGACAAATTGCATTGAGTAAATCTGCTGTGAGGGCAACGATGTCAGTCTACAGACTAAGATGTGCCTAATCCAGGCCATGATCTTCGCTATTACTTGCTATGCATTAAAGATCTGGGCAGTGATTAAGGATCATAGAAGAAGAATTGATACCTTTTACTTGTCGTTTTGGAAAAGAGTATTGACTGCCAAGAGAACAAACAGGTGGTGCTGGAGAGGGTGAAAGCAAGTAACTCTCTGAAGGCAAGGATCTAGAAGCTCCATCTCATATATTTTAGGCATGTTGCCTAAAGTGGAGGGGACAGCACAGGAAAGGAAGACTACAGATGAGATGAATTAACAGTAGCTGGGGTAATAGGGGCAGGTATGTCAGAGAGAGTGGGACTGGCTTAGGATAGGACAGGGTTCAGAACTCTTGTACGTAGGATTTCTCTGAGTCTCATGTGATTTGATGGCACGTAACAAAAATTTCTTTGTCATTCCCTTAATTTTATCTACTGTAAAAGGATTATGACATTTTTACTAAGGGGAGATATGTTTCTTTTTTATTTACAAAGAATGAACTCAGTTTGATTGTCAGTTGTGGTTTTGACTCTTACAAGAACTTTTGAATCACAAAGAACTCTAAGAATAATTATCTTCATATATTTTAGATTCCTAAAGAAGAAGAGATTTTAGGCACACTCTTTTCATTTGCAATACTATATATAATTATGTCACCTGAGGTACTCTTCCAGTTGACCTTCATTTGACCAATACTTTTGTTATTCATTTTTTTTTTCCATAGGGAGAAGAAAATTGAAGGACTGAATTTTATTAGATGTTTAGCTGCTTTTCATCCTGAAATATTGAACACAAAATTGCATGAAACAAGCTTTGCAGTAGTTCAAGAGGTAAACCATCTTCCAGTTTGGTTTGAATAACAAGAAATGAATATGCTACATCTACTTAGTAATTTTTAAAAATCTGTTAAATAATAAAAGTAAGAGCATACATATATACTTAAAGTAACCTAATCCTTAGAACATTTTGAAAAATACATATTAACTGATTTTAAGTTAAAGTGACTTTAATAGTAAAATTGTTTACAAAATTATTTTTACTGATTTTCTTTGAAGCTATCAACAAAATATACTTTTTGCAAATTTCTTTTAGGTAAAAAATTTGCGCTCTGGAGTTTCTCGTGCTGCTGTCGTGTGTTTAAGTGATCTTTTTACTTATCTAAAAAAGAACATGGATCAAGAGCTAGATACTACAGTAAAAGTTTTGTTGCATAAGGCCGGAGAATCAAATACATTTATAAGAGAAGATGTTGACAAAGCATTGAGGGCAATGGTTAATAATGTGACTCCTGCACGTGCCGTTATTTCTCTTATCAATGGAGGGCAAAGGTAATGTGCAAAATAATCTTGAAATGTCCTTAAGCCAGAACAAAACTGTTTGCAATCATGAGTGTGGGGAAAAAAGATTTTAGTGACATTATAGCCTATGTATATAACTTCTTTCTATATGATAGGCATTACATTAGGTGCTGAGCATATGCAGGGTGCTACTTCAGTTACTGAAATGAAAATACTTACGTTCATAGATCTGGAAATATATAAATGTCAGTAATTGTAAGTTTCATTGTTTGTAACTTCTTTATAAGGGAAAGCTAATGCAAATAACTTACTACTTTAGCCTGTAAATATGGTGGTTGAGAAATAAGAGCCGTTTAGTCATGTAACTTTAAAGATAGATGTCTGGAAAAGACTACTTACATCACCTTTACTTTGATATACTATGTTTTCTTATAGCCATTTACACATAGCAGTAAGAAGATGTACTGCCCAACACTTAGCAGATGTAGTGGAATTTATGGAACCAGAACGTATTTTGTCTGGAACAAAGGATATAGCTGACCGTATATTACCAGCTGCTGCTAAATTCGCCCAGGACAGTTCCCAAGAAACCAGGTGAATAGGTGATGATTATATTTGTTAAATTACTAGTATAAGAGCTTAAAAGTAGAAAACAAAGTTAAATAATAACGAACGTTTTTCGGACTAGTTTTCACAATGTATGTTAAGCTCCTTCAACAAGTCTTTCCACAGATGAAATCATTCTGATTTCTGTACATGCCACAGTGATGGATGTTAATGATTGAAAAGTATAGCTATCCGTTTGTCAAAATCCATAAAACTTTACAACACAGAGTAACCTGTAATGTAAATTAAGAACTTTCAGTATTAAAAATGTATGGTGATGCATCAATTATAATAAATCTACCATATTAATGAAATATGCTAATAATAGCCCACACTGAGTATCTAGCAGACATGATACATGGCAACTCTGTACTTTCTGTGAAAATTTTCTGTATATATATATATATATATATATACACAATTTCTATAAAATAATGAAATGTATTTTAAAAAATAAAATCTTTAAAAGGTAGAAAAAAATGAACATTTTTCTAAATGGAGTTTCCAAGGTTTAGTACTGAAAAATGGTCTTAATTTAAATCCTTTTAAGTAATTTTTAGTATATCTTCTGCCTAAGGAGATGCCAAGTCACAAGGAAAAAAAATGGCACAAGACTATTTAAGTGGGCAGAAAATTAACATGCAGATATTGTTGTAGAAATATGTAGGGTAATGTAGTTTGGGGAAAATACACATTTTCTCAGCTTCCAGGTGAATCAAGGAAAAATATAGGACGCCGAACATAAAAAATACAGGAAACAAAAAGGTAATCAATAAATGATCTTGGGTTACATGATATCTGCACTTGGAAAATTTTTTCTGTTCTTCAAAATAGAGATCACTAAGAAAAGATGTTGTATACTGATGAGTCAGAACCAACTCAGCTAACATTCCAGTGTGTTTTCAGAAGTGTTTAATGTTGTAGAAGATTGCCCATCTTTGTCCCAAGGAATAACTAGTGGATTTGAACTACATGCCTTACCACTAAGCCACCCAGAGTTCCCTAAGAAAAGTGTCATTCATTGAAATGAGAGCACTATCATAGTTATGTTGTTTGTAGTGTTGTTGTTGTTGTTGTTAAGTCAACTCATAACAACCCTATGAACAAAAGATTGAAACCCTATCCTGTGCTATCTATCCTCACAGTCTCCAGGCCACTGTTGCAGTTACTGTGTCAATTTATGCTTTTGGTAGTGTCAGAAATTATGGACAAAGTCAGAACCAACAACTGTTTAATCTTTAAGCAAGTTTCTTAACCTCTCCTAAACTCTTTTTCCACACTTGTAAAATAAGAGATTTAGGCTAGGTGATGTTTAATGTTTTATAGAAATCTAAAATTTATGACAGTTATGTAAAGATAAAGAGCAAAAATCTTGTTTTCATTGAGATTAAATGTACAGAAAAATACTCAATTTAAGTCTATTACTTTAGGTTGCTAATGTTCATCTTGTAGGACTCATTATACTAAAAACTAACACAGAATGTACATGTATTTGTTTTTATTGCTTTTTAGCAGTTTATCACAAACATAATAGCTTAAAGCAGCAAATTATATGAGCTCACAGATTTAAGTCAGATGTTCATCATGGGTCAGCTAGATTCTCTGCTTGGAGAATCACAAGGCTAAATTCATGGTGATAAATATGTTTGACTCTTACTTCTTGTTGTTCTTCTTCTTCTTATGTGCTGTTGAGTCGCCTGTGACTCATAGTGACCCTATGTACCATAGCTCTGAATCTTGTCCCGTCCTGAGCCAATCTCACTGTCTCCGATGTACCTGCGCCTATTACCCCAGTCACTGTGTCAATCCATTTTATCTGGGGCCTTCCAGTCCTGTGCTGTCCCTCTATCTTTCCAAGCATGATGTTCTTCTCTAAGGAATGGTACCTCCTGGCTATTTGCCCAAAGTATGTGAGATGAAGCTTCATAATTGTTGCCTCTAGAGAGCAGCTTGGTTTCACCCTCTCCAGGACAGACCTGTTTGTTCTCTTAGCAGTACTCTACTCTTCTTTAGAATCACAACTCAAAGGCATCAATTCTTTTGCCATTCTTTTTATAATAATAATAATAGTAATAATAATAGCTATTATTATTACTTTAAATGAAAGTTTACAGTGACTTAGGGTTTCCAGTCATTCATTGTTGCACTTTTCTCCCTGCACAACCCACCCCCCAATTCACTCTGCTACTTGAAAAGAAAAACTCTTTCATTGTTATGCAATCCCTCCTCCCAAGTCTGCTCCACTATGCAGCCTTCACTCTGGAACTCTGAAATGACAAGAATACCCATTCATATATCCCTTTTAAACAGTTCTTTCTCATATGTTTCAATGTAGTATACATCATTCCTCTCCTCCTTTTCTGTCTTCCCTCAACCCTGATGTCAGTCCCGTTTTGCAGCAGTGGCCCTATGCAATATTTGTCCTTTTATGACTGAGATATTTCACTCAACATAATGTCTTCCCAGGGTCATCCATTTTGCAAAGTGTTTCATGAGTTCCTTGTTTTTCAGTGCAGCATAGTATTCCATTGTGTGAATATACCACAGTTTCTCTAACCATTTGTTTGTTGATGGACACTTGGGCTGTTTCCAGCTCTTTGCTATTGTGAACAAAGCCTCAGTAAACATGGTGTGCATATATCTGCTTGGGTGGCAGTTATGGTTTCTTTAGGGTAAATTCCCAGTAGTAGAATTGTGGGGTCAAATGGTATTTCTATTTGCAACTTTTTGAGAAAGTGCCATACAGCCTTCCATAGTGGTTGTACCATTTTACACTCCCACCAACAGTAAATAAGGGTTCCAGTTTCTCCACAACCTCGCCAGCATTTGATGTTTGCTGTTCTGTTAAGTTTTGCTATTCTTACTGGAGTGAGATGCTATCTCATAGTTGTTTTGTCTTTTGCCATTCTTATTCATTGTCCAGCTCTCTGATGCATAACAAGTAATTGCAAAGACCATGGCCTGGATCAGGTACACCTTAGTTGCTAGACTGACACCTTTGCATTTCAGCAAAGATGATTTACTAATTTAGTTCATCTTTTAAATTACTGGCTGCTTGTTCCAAGAATGTTAATTGTGGGCCCAAGCAAGATGTAACTGTTAGCAACCTCAGTCTCTTCTCCATCTATCCTGGTGCTGCCAGCCAGTGGCGAGAATCTTTGTCTTTGTGATGTTCGGCTTCAATCTATTTTGAAGACTTCAGTCCTTGGCTTTCTGCAGCAGATGTTTCAGGTCCTCAGTTTCAGTGAGCAACGATGTGTAATCTGCATAATGCAAGTTGTTAATGAGTCTTCCTCCAATTCTGATGCCACATTCCTCCTTATAAAGACCATTCTCCTTAAAAAATTAATAAAGAGAGAAAGAGAGATACCTGTTCCACATAAAAAGAGAGATGGAGACAGGACACATTCCTGATGCACTCCTTTTCTGATTTTGAACCATACAGTGTATCCTTGCTCTGTTCTAACAGTTGCTTCCTGGTCCAACTGTAGGTGTTACATAGGCACAGTCAGGTGTTCTGAGATTCCAAGATTAGCCACAATTTGTTGTGATCCACACAGTCAAATGCTTTTGCATAGTCAATGAAACACAGATCCATCTAATATTGACAATGATGTCACTAGTGCCACGACTTCTTCCAACCCCAGCCTGTAGTTTGTAGTTCTTTGTTGATGTACCACTCCAGTCGTTTTGGATAATCTTCAGTAAGATTTTGCAGCTTCTATTTCCTGAAATATGTCAATTGGTATCTCATCAATTCCTGGGGCATTTACCCCACCCCCACCCCCAACATTCCTTCAGAGTAGCTTGAACTTCTCTTTTATCACCATTGCCTCTTGGTCTTATGCTGTTTTATGAAATTCTTCTGTGTCAACCAGTTCTTTTTAATACCGTGACTCTGTATACTCCTTCCATCTTCTTTTGATGCATCCTGGATCATTCAAAATTCTTCTCTTAGCATCTTTAAATATTGCAACTTGAGGCTTGAATTTGTTCTTCAGTTCTTTCAGCTAAAGAAATGCTGAGCAAGTTTGTCCCTTTTGATTCTCTGACTCCAGTTTATTTGCACATTTATTTGTAATACTTTGTTTTGAAAGCTTCCCTTTGAAATCTTCTGTTCAGCTCATTAATTTCTTGGTTTCTTTCTTGTGCTTTGACTTTATAGCGCTCTAGTACAGTATTTAGAGTCTCTTCTGACATCCATCTCGTTCTTTTCTTCCTCCTCTTTGTAATGACCTTTATCCCCATCCTCTGCTATCAGTTCAGTATTCTCTCTCACCTCCTTAGATAAACTCATATTCTTTATCAAACAATTCCTACCATCTTCAAGCCATCTAACATGGTGTGTTCAATTTCCTTCTTTTTTTTTT